CCGACAGTGAACCAAGTTTGTCATGCTGATTGAGCGCCTCGTATATTTCTTTCCGAAGATTGCCGGACATAAAGAACCGACGTGAGTCTTTTGTGTTGAAAACCGTTTGAAGTGTCTGGACGTGTCTGAGAACCGGTGGGTTTCAACGAACCTGTATTCCGACAAAGCATTTCCTCTCATTGCCTTATTGCACTTTCCTCAGTGCCAACACTCACCGACAAATTAAACCGTTCAACATTAAATTGTAATAAAAATAATTAATGCATTCCAAATCAAAAATACACCATAGAACATATTTTCCATGAACTACCATTTGTTATATATCGTTTTTTATAATACTAAAATGTCATAATTTTTTCCAGCCAACAAACTTGGTTAATAAAAAAATTTAGAAAAAACTTTTAGGATATATTATCTGTTAAATTATCAGATTTCTTCTCGTGGTCTGTATGGTAATGAACCTACAGTTTCCGTGTTCAGGTCGTCTACTCCGCCGTACCTTTACCGAGCTAAGTTCCTGGAGCTTAGGTCTAGGTACACTGGTTTTCGGCTCGTCTTTACAGATGGGTCTAAGAGAGGCGAAGGTGTGACGTGTATCGAGATGTGCTCTGAGCGTTTAAACTACAGAACTGTATGCGACCTACTAGAAGTGGTTCTAGACGGCTCTGTCTAATGACTACCTCATCGCGGTTACTGCCGTCCGAACCCCCTCGCTTTTGTTGGTGAGATAACATTTAACTGGAGCGTCTCGGAGAAACCTTGGTTGTTTTCTGGGAACCTGGAGGGTAATAAAAAGGCGGACGTTCCAACATCCGGACTTAACCGGCTCTCTGAACCTCAATTAGATTCGTTGTATTATATGTGTAAAGGATAATAAGGAATGTCGAGTACTCCACCACCCTAATTGAATGAATGGTATGTAAATAGAAGTGAGTTTTGGATGGTGAATAGACCTAGCTGTTGACAGAACCCACTCCGGAGCACAACCTCGGGGGCTGGACGGATAAGACTGAGTTTTGCCCCCTGACTGCCAACACCCGAAGGGCGGTCGAGCCTGCCGGCAATTTACTGTACATAACAAAAGCTGGAATTGCTGAAATACTACGAGAAGCGAATAGACTTAACTCGGAACATCTTCGAATGTACGTACGTACACGTGAGGATTTCAGCCTATATAAATCCAAATCCAAATTCCCAATCCATTGTTTTTGATTTGCCAGACATGTTTCAGATTCTTGCCCCCTTCCGTGGTCGGTTAATCTTAATGTGTTTATTGTTTTTTTTAAATTAAAGCAAATTAAACGGTTTCACATTAAATTGCAATAAAATAATGTTATGTAATGTACATTATAAATCTCTTTTGTCAATAATAATAGGGATATGTAATCTTTTTTCCAGTCTAGCAAACAAGATTTTAAAAAAATTAATAATTAATAAATAATAAACTGTTAGGATGTAATAATATTATTATCTGTTAACGTGTGCCTATTATCTTAGTCTTAGTGTGTATATTCTCAATTAAGGTCCGGATAAAAGGTTGTCGTTTAATTATTGAAATTTGGGTTGTTGGAAACCAATAAAATATTTTAGTTCAAAAAATGATCTTTTCTAAATCTCAGGACCATCTGAGGACTGATAGTAATTGCTAAAAGTGTATTACTTGTTCATTCCGTTAGATGGTTATAGTTGGTGTAAAAAATTTTTCTGGATTAATTTGAGTTTTTTTAAATCAAAAATTCATCAATGTTAATAGGTAAACAATATTATTTTTAAAAAAGGGTAAATTTGTGCGTTATTTTCATGAAGGCAGTCAAACTGATACAAATTCTTCTGTACATGGCGTCACCTATGCTCATATGTAAATTTATTTTATTTATGGAACGGGGGTGGAATGTAGTGAATTGTGCAAAATAGGATTTTTAAGGAGGTAGAACGGTTTTGCAAGGAAGTCGTCACGGTCTTGCCTAACCCGTGAGCCGTACCAGCCAATTCACAAGCGCCAGAAACAAAAAAACGTATATGCACGGTTATAATTTTAAATGTAATCTGCTGAATTAATATTATTTACTTTTATTTAGTCAATAAATATTTTTTTAAGACGGCACCTTTCACCTGAAGGTAGAATAATTGCATAAAAGCTGTTAATGGATTTAAATAGTTAATTTACATCGACCTTTATTCAATGGATATACGAATGTAGACATTTTAAAAGTACATGCGCTTTGAAAAGTTGTAACTGAGACGTCTTTGACATAGGAAATAGTTGACGAGTGATTAAATACAAAGTATTAAATAAAAATTAAAGGCAAAGCTCAACATATTACGTCTTTCAAAGAAACAACTAGTAAATAATATTTAACTGCTGTTTCAATAGGTAACTAGAAATAATAATAAACATTCCAATTCAAAGGCTGTGGTGCTATTCAAATGGGGCGATAACATACAATTAGGAATACATACCAAAATCTAGTAGTATATCGTTGATAGCAAAGAGAAAGGGACTTTCTCTGTAAATCAGTTCTGTTCTCGTAGCAGTAGTCGTAAGTTACATGCCTAATCTTGTCGGACATCCTTTCGCAGGCAGCGACTATAATAGTGGATCTTGTAGCCTTGTAAGTAGACGACAGATGATCCTGATACAAAACTATCAATTAACGGTCTATTTTTCTATTGAAAACTCCCTTAAAATATTCGCAAAATAAAAGCGGTTATAATGAATTTTATTGTATATTTCTTTATGTTAATAATGAATAGAAACAACGACCAATACATTGCAAACATCTATTATTCGCGTCCTCTCCACACAAATGGCATACTGTGTCGCCGTTTCCGATTATTTTGGTCCTTCTAACGCTTTTCGTTTTAATGCCATCTTATGTGACGGGTTTGTGATATCGAGAGACCGAAACAACAAGGTTAATAAGGCCAAAATGATATCACGGTTCGTCACTCGGCATACCTCAATAGAAATTCTCAACGTATATCGTCAAATATTTCGAATCATCTTTTCTTGACGCACTGGATAATTCCCTATATACGTTATGTGTATGTTCTATGGTTGAAATATGAGATATCCTTTAGGGAGAGTCTGCCGAGTGATGAACCTCTCGTTTGGTGTCGATAATTTTTGTCTGCTTGCATTTATTGTTGTTTCCATCAGATGTGTCTTGTCTTTCGCTTTGTTGGGTGATAGGTTTTTCTCGACATTTAATCAACGAGCAGTTAAGTGAAATCCAAACTTATCGAAATTCTAGCATTCAACACAGTCCCACCAAATCAGACGTCTAATAGTAAATAATTTGTTTTCAGTTGCTGGAAATTAGTGAATTAAAGAAATACGATAATAAAGACCTAATTTGCATTTGTTATCTTAATTTCACCGAAAAGATTTTTAGTAACTAGGTTGAAGAGATCTTATAGTAATAATTCATTAGTAATATCTTATAGTAATTTTTCAGACTTATTGCGACTAATTTGTAACTTTTATGGATTAGCAAAGAATTTTCCTTCCCGTTAGTATCAACGGAGCGGAATCATTAATATATGAGGCCGAAACAATAATTCATTCGGTTAAGGACCAATTTCGCCACGGAGCCGACAGTGCAGAATGTGATTGAAGGTGATGAAAAGGCAAATGGGGTGTAGGGTTATTCCTGGGACGATTCCGACCACGGCCTGATTCACCCGGCAACCCTCCTCGGGGCATTATTTTCCCGGTCTCGGCGGATAATTTTCCGGATCTGTGTGGAGGAGGAGAATGGGCTTTTGGAGCGTGCCGAATCGCCCAACGCGCCCGGCCCCGGGGGTCACCGCCCATCTGCCCCAGGTGGCCTCTCATTTTATCAAATTAGCCCAAAATGCCTCCATCCAAAGGACCTTTTACTAGTTTTATCTAGAGTTAGAATTTTTTTCTGCCCCTTTTCCCCTTGTGTCTCGTGTGAGGTCTTTAATGGACTCCCTTTAATCACTTGGAGAAAGACTAAAAGCTAAGCTACGTTATAAGAAACAGCTAAATTTGTTTATGTGACAATAAGCCCGTGAAAAATCGTTTTCAATCTCTCACCCTTCAAATCAGAGTGAAGCTTTTCACTGATCAAAACATTGGACCTTCTGGTCCGCCTGTTCTCGTCGTGTGTCTTCGGTCTTATCACTAACCGGCCAAATTTATGAGTTGTACATTTTAGGAGTTAATATCCTAAACACCGAATCTATTAATAATCAATTAATACTAAAAAAATATGTTTTGTGCAAAATTTGGGACATTTTCATTTTAATTAGGCGAATTGCGTTTTTGTTGCACAAATGAAACAATTTCGTCTCATCTTTTGAGTATACATATAATGCTTCCACTATTTCCCCTCATTTTTGGTTCATGAATATTCAAGTTCCTACACCTTGCATGATGTGTGGTGAACAATCGGCATACAAAAACCAATTACAGTTAGGCCTATTGGACATAACTTGAAATTTAATAATATTTGAATGAATATTTCCAAATGTGAGGTCTGCAGAGTGATTTTCTTGTAATTTTGTGGTTACCGATCATTTTGATCTCCCTACCCTCGTTGGTTTTGGTCTGTCGTACGCGTTCCGACTTTTTTTTAAACTTATGTCAGCATTTATCGTTTTTCCATCAACAACGAATATCGCTTGTTATTTTGTTTGGGTTGAAAAAGTGGAAACGGGGGCGGCCGCGCCTATTTCTTGCATCAGAGGATTGATATAGAGCTGGGTGTCATACCATTCCTAGACGGTACTGTATAGAATAATTACTCACCGATGTAAAATCCGGGGCAATAAGTTTATAAATAAATAATGCCATCGTGTCTCCTGTGAGGGCATAACTCAGGGATTAGGCGAGTCATTTGTCTGCCGTGGGCGCCCGCCTTCTCCCAAACCCCTGTTTGCTTCTCACGAAAATTTCAATTTTTTTGTGTGTGTTTTCATTGACCACTTTTCCATTTCAGTAACAAACGCTAATATTCGCTTGTCTTTTTCAGCATGTAGTGCAGAACCTGCCGCCCGAGGAAAGGTATGTATTTTGTTTATCTATTGCCAACAAATAATTTATTTTCTATTTGGCTCCATTTATTACCGCTTTCTGACTGATGAGAATTATATTGTTGATATTTTTCTTTAATGTACATATCCATTCTAGACGTTTCAATATTATGGTTACTATTTATTATCTCACAAAGAGGCCCACGTATTTCGTGTAGACTCTAAAAATGAGAATAGGGATCGTTCCATTTCTGAATAAACTCGATGGACTGTTGGAAAGTAAATAATGGGTACTAGGGGTTAAACTTTTATTATCCAAAGTCAAAAATGTAACCCGCTAAATTGTGAATTCATTTTTTATATTTGAATATAAAATTGATTATATGTAATGTGACGATGGATCTGTACCAACCTCAGTTGTCCGAATGCGCTGTCATTGTTGTATTCATAGTTTATGTTTTGGTGGCGTTTTTTAGTTCTTACACTTTAGAATTTCGTCTGATTTGTGCTATTTCACAGTAATCAAGGAATTTCACATTCACACCAATACATATTCGGAATTTTTTATATAGGCATGCGCCCGGAATGGGTAATAACTAATAACACATACTTCCATCTTGAAAATAACACTTAGTTCACCCAAAAAGGAGTTATTAATTTTTGAAATGTGATCCTGTAGGCAAGACAGCACGTGGATAATTCATGCTTATATATTCTGTATGGTTTTGAGTATACCAGCAGCGTTTTCGGTGTCCTCTTTCGAATTCTGTGCTCTACGCTGCTTCCTGCAAAGGAACGATTTTGGGATTTTGGTACACATTTTTAGCCGAATTATTCAGCTTAAAAATTACTTATTCGCTCACCCTAAATACGGGGTCCGCGGCGAACTTCGAGAAAAATTAATTACAAAAAATAAACATAGAATGAATAAATGCAATCAAAAACTAATAATAATAAGTACTGAAAACGAAAAAGTTTAATATTTTGCAGCAGCAGTGTCTCCACAGGTATGCTTTAGCTAGGAAATACATGCCAGCCACTTGTAAGAGTTTTCGATAAGACTGTTCAAATTATTAAATATTTAAGTAAAGATTTTTCACAATACTACGTGTCGATATGGGAAGCCTTCTACTTCTCAACAGGTCCAGGTACAATACTGCAAATAAAATACTGTATAGGTGGTCGAACCGTTTTCAGTTTCAAAGCCAACCAGTCTCTCTTCAATTAAATACGAATTTTGATAGACATTACTTCAGAGTCCACTTTGAAATTTACTTCCGAGTCCGATACTTAGTCCCATTTTTGAGTACGACTGGAAAACAAAAAAATTCAACCGCTCGTTGAGAAAGCAAAACTTGTTCTTCTTCCATTGGCCCTTGCGAATCCGGATTTTCTGTATATACAGCCACCATAATTAATTATCGAAGCTGTTTAGATGCTGAATCGGACATCCGTCTCCATCTATCAAAAATTAATTCCAACATATCCAAATTGTGCAGGCTAAAACAACCTCACACTTCTCATTAATTCATTAATCATTGATGTTCAAATTATTAGTGATTTCCCCCTTCTTCGCCTTTATGTCAGGCATCTAACGTTCCTTCCACAAATGTCGATTTGGGAGTCTGGAAAAAACATTCATTCATACATCCTATGGACTCATGAATCCACGTTCACCTCTAATGGCATAGTAAAACATCAATTACTCAATTTTTCATGGGGGTTTTACCATCACTATTAGATGATGTTCCTCAGCAACAACGACAAATAATGATTCTCCAGCTGGATGCCCGCACACAATTCTATGCAGGTGAGACGTTATTTGAATTTGATAGGTGGATAGGAGGACCTTATAGCCCGATCTGTTGTCTCCTCGGTCACTTGGATTTTCATTCAAGTTTCATTTCAAACACTATTTTCTAATCGTATTTGACATTTTGAAGTTGAACTGGGCCTGAGGTACGCTGTATAATTGTTCTCCAAAAACAATTGAAACTAGTCTAAAAATATTAAACACGTTGTTTTTGTTTTGCTAGCGTCATTAGTTCAAGAGAAATTCAGCCGGGTTGTCTAAAAAGGCACCCTGTAGAAGTACCTAATTTTAAATACTTGATTGAGAGGGGTCCGCCCTGGATTTTGTTCTGTGAAAAGCTGGCTAAATAGTTTGGGAAGACCTGAACCAGGTGAATCGCCATAGTAAGATATATCGCGTAATCATTTTATGGAAGGTTGTGGTTATTCCAAGTGAAGAAAGTGGCACGATTTGTTCACAAACACTCTAATCTTTCCAGACCGTTGGTTTCTCCAGCCTTCATAAGACGAGAGATAAAAAAGACCAATTTTTAATTCCAAGATGTTATTATTAAGTGGCGCTTCACGCTCTTTTTCACCTACGTGACTTAGAGTAGTAAACGAGGTGCTATCCATGATTAGAAGGCAGGAGTGACAGTAAGTAAGGGTTGAAGATCTGAGCATCCCTTGTCTATTTGGAAGAGTCTTGATTAGATTGTCTCACCGGGTGCGTGGTCCGTTTCTAAACCGGCCGGGAGAAATGGTGATCCTATTTGTTATTCTCCGCGAGGGGCCGCATTTTTATTTACAGCCTCTCCCCTGTCGAAGATCTTCTAATATACGAATACAGTTTTCTGATTTTCGGGTTCCCCCGTCGTAAATTGTCTACTGCCTAGTCGCCTTTTCGGGAGATTCGCCTCTTTTATGTCCGGGTCGGACAAAAGCGTCCCGGCATGAACACGAGAAACTCCTTTCGTTGCACGGTGAGAGGCGGAGGAACCTACCCGGGTCGCATCATCCTGGTTTTCTGATTTATCTTTTGACAACGTGAACAAATCATGTTTTATGCCTTTGAAAACATCTTTGGGAAATAAGGGCTGTTGGATGGACTCGACCGATTTCAACATTCGTTGATTTCTTTTTTGGATTACGTGAAAAAATAAAACACTAAAGGATTTCGACATTATCTCGTAAAAATTGAGTGGCTAGACTATTTCCAAATTAAGAACCAACTGGTCTGATTTATTTGAATTACATTACATCGTGTGGACATTATAAAAGGTTGCATAAAACCCTTGTACATGAAAACACTATTACATTCTAAGTGAAATAACAATCCTGCTTAGCCCTTTTTGTTTATATACTTCTTATCTTTGTTTTAATAATTACGTTTCACTAATTATACATGTTGAAGTTCCGCCAATGACAATAAACCATTAACATTCCAAACTTGGAAGATCGTATGCATTAGCTTCGCCAGAATATAAAGTTAGGCTGGAAAAAAGTTTTTTCCATTTCATTTCTCGTACTTTTGTGGTTTCCGATCATCCTGATTTGCTTTTTCGCGATTTTTTGGCCTTTCATATGGATATTTAATGATAATCCGTAATTATTTTTTAAGCTAATATTGTACTAGTTGGAGAAAACAAGAGCTAAGTTGCTCTAATTAAAAATAAAACATGTTTGGAAGAATTATTACAATTTCCTTTCTTATTATAAAATACACAACGAATATATGGGAGGGGGACCTAGAATTGAGAGTCAATTGAGATTAAAAATAAAATCAACTGCATATTAATCAGCAACTGAAGCTGGCATTGAAGACACGAGGTCAAGTATTGTATTTTAACGTCAAAGTTCAGACATTTCACTAGTCGTAATTTAATGAAATTAGTATACCTATCGGCCAAAATTGGCGCTTTTCATGTACTTTCGTATGCCACCGGCGGACTTTATGTAACCTGTACGCATAGATCATGTCAGTTCTTTTCTTCATCCTCACTTTCTGTTGAGAATTTCATTTAAACAAAAAAAAATTATAAAACAACATTAAATCGAGAACAACTACTCTCCAGAACGGCTAATTGTCATTTTCTAGTTAAAGAAAGAAAAATATCTACGAATAAACTAATACACTTCTTCATTTGACCAAGTGGTCTTTTTTTGAAAAAAAAAAAAAAAAATGTGTGGTGATTAGTGACCGTTAGTTGATATCAGAAATCGTGAGATGCGCTGTGGTGTGATGTAGGTTTCAGAAAAACATTTTCTTTATCGTGCCAACGTTTCGATCTTTATTGAGAACATCTTTAGGGCCTGGAATTTACAAACATTGTTTAAATTTAAGAAATACATGTAGGATCTGGAAAAAAGTGAATTTATACAATGCAAAAAAAAAATTTATATTCAATCAAAGTATTTGATAACACTTTGAGTGAGTAGAAATACTTTGATTGAATATAAAAAATATATTTTTTTGCATTGTATAAATTCACTTTTTTCCACATCTACATGTTTTTGTTAAATTTAAACAATGTTTGTAAATCCCAGGCCCTGAAGATGATCTCAATAAAGATCGAAACGTTGGTACGATAAAGAAAATGTTTTTCTGAAATCTACATCACACCAGACTGCATCTCACAATTTCTGAATAAAAATATAAAAAAATAATACGAATTAGTTGTTTTGTTGATTGTTTATTATAGGTTTATATAAACAGCGGGATTTTTTTTAAAGAAATAAATCTACTTAAGGGATGTTATGTTCTTCGACATAATGAAAATGTTAAATATTTGGTTCTTAAAGGAAAAAGGACCCTGGAATTTATTGCGATTTCCCAATGCCAAGGACATAAATATAAATCGCCATGGCTTTCCTTCTGCCCTCCACAGAATTTGTCCCTTTTTGCCCTTTTGGCATTTAAAGCCCTAAACCGTTTCAGCAGCCGTTTATCGTTGAAAATCCAATTACAGCCTTTACAGGACAATTGTCGAAATTGATCGGATCCAGAGTATTTCATTGATACATCCTAGACTGTCTATCCGTCAAGATTGATATAGTTTTTGACCTGATTTCTTCCCAACCGAGAAGTTATACTTCAACTAATGTGGCCTTGTCGAGCAAATGGATAAACTTTGATGGGACGATAAATACATTTAAAAAAAAGAACTCGTGGATATAAGATAAGATAGATTAAACCGAGAGAATTTTATAGCTAGTATATATTTTACAAATAGGGTTTCT